TAGAACATGAAAGACCCAAAAAAAGAGGATTGTAAGAATCAAGATAAGCCTAATAAAAAATGTATATTGGCTTAGCACAGAAAAAATGAAGAAGCTTTGGAAATCTGTAAACTGACCAGATTCATTTGGCTAGTGAGACGGGCAGTGTCTCAATTTGATAAATAATCAGATAAAATCATAAACTAACAGCAGGGAAAATTGAATGCTATGAGGCACAGATCATCCAATTTAAGCAAAATCAACTATTTCAATGAAATCGGACGTAATTCTACCGATGTATAAGTGGCAATAGAAATTATGGAAATAGAAAATCAAATCAAAGGAAAGAATCTAGTCCTGGAAAGGGTTATGAGAAACTTTAAAAGGCTATAATAAAGTGTTGGAAGGATAAGAGAATTTGAAGATGAATTTAGTAAAAAAAAAAAAAAGCAAATGGAAAAATCAATAATAACAGCAGGAATGGTTAATAATTGAGTGAAAAAGATTAAAAACTGGACATCCCATGGAAATGATCAGTTGCATGGATTTTGGCTCAAATATCTAACTAGATTGAGTCCAATTATAGTTAAAATAGTTTAATTAAATATTGCACCAGGGACTGGTTAATAACTTATCCAATTCAAAAAGAATCAGCAAACCAGACAACACCAGGAAACTATAGGTCAGGTGTCGGCAACCTTAAACACTCAAAGAGCCACAAAGGTCCTAACCTGAAGCCCCACGTTCAATTCTGGAGCCAACCGGAAGTCTGGTTCCCCAACCATAGAGTCTCCTCCTAGTGCAGTGTCCTTTTTTCCTCTGCTGACCGGAAGTTCAGTTTCAGCACCACCACCACCACCATAGAGTCTCCTCCTAGCGCAGCATCCTTTTTCCTCTACCTGTCCTAACCGAAAGCCCTATTGTGGAGCCGACCGGTGACAGGAAGCCACAGCAGAAGGATGAAAGAGCCACATGCGGCTCCAGAGCCGCAGATTGCTGACCCCTGCTATAGGCCAATAACATGCTTGCCTACAATGCTTAAATTACTCCTAATAATAATAACAGACAACATCCAAGATTAATTAGAAAAAAATAATGTCCTTCCAGTAGAACAGAAAGTAAGCAAAAGGAAAAGCAGACATACAAAATATTAACTTCTTATGGTTCTTGAGAATTGCAAAAAATGAAAAAAAAACATTACATACGGTCTGGATTGATTATAAAAGGCATTTAATTTTTTACCACCTAGTTGGATCATCAAATGTTTGGAAAACCACTGTTGCCAATAAAAACATTAGCATGTTTGTAGAAAAAATAATGAAGCAGTGGAAGACAGAATTAGTGACTGGAAATGAAAAATATGGGCTTGTCAACATTAGGAGATACATCACCTTTAATATTCGTCATTGCTACGTTCCCGCTTTCTGCAATTTGGAAGAAAAGTAATCTTGGCCATCAAACAGCAATAAAAGCTCACATTTGCTTTGTATAGTTTATCTGAAGCTATATAGCAACTCAGACACTGAAATCCGGGCATTGACGAACACTTAAGGATTTTTAGCATAGATCTAGCAATGGAGTTTGGCCTAGAGAAATTTGCTAAGGTAAGCAGAATTGCAGGCTAAGACATTGCTCACTGCCAGGAGTTCGATCCTGACTGGCTCAAGGTTGACTCAACCTTCCACCCTTCCGAGGTCAGTAAAATGAGGACCCAGATTGTTGGGGGCAATATGGTGACTTTGTAAACCGCTTAGAGAGGGCTTGTAAAGCACTATGAAGTGGTATATAAGTCTAAGTGCTATCGCTATAAATCAGGGTAAAATCACAAACATTAATGGAATTGAAACACCAAATGCCAAACCATCAGAAGTCATCAGGATGAAGTTACAGATATCTGGACGTTTTACAGTTGGCTTACATGAAGCATGGACAAGTTAAAATTATGATCAATAAAGAATACACCAAGGAGGGAAAACATTGCTAAAGACAAAAAGTTAAACTGAACTGTTTGGACTAAAAAAACCCAGTGAATGTCTATTCATTATGCATTACATCCTCATAGTGATATTCTTAGATTGCAGGTAGTCCTCAATTTATGACTACAATTGAGCCCAAAATTTCTGTTGCTCGGTGAGGCATTTGTTAAGTGAATTTTGCCCCATTTTACCACGTTTCTTGCCACAGCTGTTAAGTGAATCACTGCAGTTCTTAAATTAGAAACATAGTTGTTAAGTGAATCTGGCTTCTCAGTTGACTTTGCTTGTCGGGAGGTTGCAAAAAGGGATTGCATGACACTGCCACCGTCATAAGTGCGAACCAGTTGCTAAGCTTCTGAATTTTGATCACGTGACCACGGGGACGCTGCAAAGGTCATAAGTGTGGAAAAAACGATCCTAAGTCACTTTTTTCAATGCTGTTATAACTTTGAACAGTCACTAAATGAACTGTTGTAAGTCGAGGACTACTTGTATACGTGCCCTGGAGAAATGGAGGCAGAGATTTACTTCAAGTCAAACGAAGTATCAAAGAAGAAAAACAAGAATTGGCTGGTTATGTAAAAGATAACCAAGACAAGCACTGATGCAAGTTAAAAATTGGAACCTGGTCTACAGTGAACGAAAAGTAAATATCAAAATAATGTAATAAAAGCACAAACAGAACGCTGGCAAAGAAAAGCATCACATGGTCAATTTCTAAAAAAAACATTGAAGGGACAGTGGATAAAGATAAAATCTGGCTTACAACTGGAACATCGAAAACCAAAATGCTTGATTTTGGCTGCATAAGATCAAGCTATCCAAACAAACGCAATCAAAGCCAGAACTGAAAAATCATCAAATAATTCAAAGTACAGATTGTGCAAAAAAGCAGAAGAAACACATGACATACTTAATTTTCTGCACGAAGATTGCACAAGCAGATTTGCTAGAACAGCTGTAAAAATTGCCATGTGCCATTAATGAAAAATTGGTGGGAACATAGGGTTGAAAATGAGAAGGTTTAAAATACTGTAGGATTATAACCCAGATATAACTGAGGTAGAAAAGAAGAAAGCATGGACTGGATGTGGCAATACCAGGAGATAGTAGCAATAGCAATAGCACTTAGATCACAAAGTATCAAGTTCCCAATAATCAAAATCGAAAGATTATGGCATAAATCAGCTGTGGTGGTCCAGGGGTTATCAGCGCACTGAGTGCCACATCCATAAATCTCAGATGGTACTTAGAAAATCTGGGCATTGACAAAAATTTCCATCTGTCAATTGCAAAAGTCCACACTGCTCACATCAGCACATATATTCTGCTGACACATTACGACATTCTGGGGTTTTTGGGAAGATGCCTATGAAGGCCAAGACAGCTACAGAACTGGCAGCTATGATTTCACATATGCTTCCCAATTCAAAATGCTCCTAAATTTGCACCAAAGCCAGCATGCTGGAAGTCCACACACATCTTCAAGTTGCCAAGATTGAGTAACAATACCCTTAGAAACTCAAGGGATTTTATAACCCATCTTGGAATTCCAAATTAAGGAAATTGTAGCAGAAGGCAGGGAAGAATAAAACCCTACGGAATAAATAACATCTGAGTCAGATTTCTCCACAAGTGATAAGTGCATAATGACAAATCATTTGTTGATTTTATATTAATTCCAGAAAAGAAGTGATTTAAAGCTTGTCACATTGATCAATTGAAACGCTGCCTTTTGCACAGGTCATGGCAGCGTTCACCATACTTCTTCCCATTTCTCACACAACAACATCTGTCTGAATTATCACATCAAGCCAATCCATTCTATTTGACAGACATTAAACTCACTTTAAATTTACAAAACTGGCACTCAGATTTTAGTCTTGTTTTTAAAAAAAAAAAACACAGAGAAAAAGAAAAAGAAACAAGTTCCAGGAACACTTTATAGCCTTAAAAGTCCCTAGATATTATGCCAAAAAGCAAACACATACAATATTTCAAGCCCTGAACTCTGCCAATTTCACACAATCGCAGACATTTGAGAGCTCTGGTTTCTCCCTCAATAATTTATTCTGATTGCACAATATGCTTCTTTGAAATTATCTGGAGAGCTGTAAAAAGCAAAATTAGACGGAGACATTGATCCAGTTCAGATGACAAAGTAAAGTAGCCTGCAGATTAAAATATAAGAGTATGGCTAAGGACCATCTTAACTCCTATCTGTAATAACAGATTACTTTATGATTATCTTATGTCAACCACACAGACCAGCATGTTATCCAAACCCACATTAGTGGTTAATTTATGATTAAGCAGCCATTATTCCTCCAGGAACACAAAACAAGAAACTAGACTTGTGGCAAAGCTGTTTTTCTGATGCTCCCTCTTATTATTCTGTTGCAACTGCTGTACTATCATACACTGACTTGGTTGTGAAAATAAAAAAGTTAGAACAACCAGCATTCCCATCTCACGTGCAAAGGCTCTGGCTGTAATCACCCCATGGTAGATTTTAGAAATATTTTTGAGAAACAAACCTCACAACAACTATACCGATTAAAAGGATATAGTCAAACTGCATTCTGACCCAGTTTGGTGTGTAATTTGGAGCAAATTCATCAAGCAAGTGTCTTAACCATGGTTAAGTCTAATCCTGGTCTAGTAGGTCATGCAAATACAATGCTTGAGGCAGAACCATTGGTCTAGAAGACTAATGCAGTAAAGTCTATCCTAAGTGCCATGCAAAGCAATGACACTTAAGAATTGTTGTGATTAATTTGTTTCATTACTTTAGAGCCGCCCTGAGTCTTCGGAGAGGGGCGGCATATAAATATAAATTAAATTATACAAGTCTTACTCATAACTGTTTTTGACTATTGAGGCTTACAGGACCAGGAAATAAGGAAGACAATAAAGAGAGCTTCTGTTCTTATTAAAAGAAAAAAGCTTTTATCCATAAAATTGGTACATCTGTCTTTTTCTTTTTTTGGGAGAGTTCCAGCAGCTGTGTGCTTTAACGTCTTCAGGGTTATGGAGAAAACTTACCTTCTAACGTCCAAGAGCTTCAGCATATATGACGCTTTGTGGAAAGTCACACTTCGCTCTCAGCCTGTTAGACAGAAAGCCACATGTCAGTTATAATATCCAAGACATGCTATGAGAGGCAATAATCCCAAAAAAGAAGGAGAAGGGGGAGAAGGAGAAGGAAAAGGAAAAGGAAAAGGAGAAGGAGAAGGAGAAGGAGGAGAAGGAGAAGAAGAAGGAAAAGGAAAAGGAAAAGGAGGAGGAGGAGAAGACGAAGGAGAAGGAGAAGGAAAAGGAAAAGGAGAAGGAGAAGGAGAAGGAGGAGAAGGAGAAGGAGAAGGAGAAGGGGGAGAAGGAGGAGAAGGCGAAGGAGAAGGGGAAGAAGGAGAAGGAAAAGGAGAAGGAGAAGGAGAAGGAAAAGGAAAAGGAAAAGGAGAAGGAGAAGGAGAAGGAGAAGGAGAAGGAGGAGAAGGAGAAGGAGAAGGAGAAGGAGAAGGGGGAGAAGGAGGAGAAGGTGAAGGAGAAGGGGAAGAAGGAGAAGGAAAAGGAGAAGGAGAAGGAGAAGGAAAAGGAAAAGGAAAAGGAAAAGGAAAAGGAAAAGGAAAAGGAAAAGGAAAAGGAGAAGGAGACATATTGACAGATCTACTATGGCAAGTTTAAATAACCAGTGTGCACAGACATGTGATTGCTGCACATATGAATGCTGAACACAAACAGCAGGAACCTGGAATCATCCAGATGTTTGAAATTCAATCCCATTCGTTTCCCCTAGCACTGTCCACAGCAATGCATTGTGGGAGATGTAGAATTAAAAAAAACGCTCGGATAAGATATAGGCTGCTCATCCCTGATTTATTAATGCCGTTTCACTGACTCCTTCATGAAGGCAGCCAGCAGATGCTGGTTGGGATTAAAAAACAAAACAAAACTGGTGATCACAAATTTGAAATTGCTACTTCAACTGGTACCACATCAGTTCATTAGCTGATCAGTTAACATTAGGAAAGATTGAATTTTTAGAAACAGAACAATTCCCCCCTTGACATCGCTGCCTGTAGCACACAATTTTATTTATTTTTTTATTTTTATTTATTTTTATATGCCGCCCTTCTCCGGAGACTCAGGGCGGCTTACAATGCGTTAAGCAATAGCCTTCATACTTTTGTATATTTTATACAAAGTCAGCTTATTGCCCGCACAAACCGGGTCCTCATTTTACCCACCTTAGAAAGGATGGAAGGCTGAGTCGACCTTGAGCCTGGTGAGAATTGAACTCGCAGTAATGGCAGGCAGCTGGATGTTAAATGCTGCCTTAGTAGGAGGCATTAGCCTCCTACACCACTCAGGCACAATGATGGGCTTATGTAAATCAGCATGAAGGGACAGGGCCTTCACAGGAATTTAAATGTTCCCCTGCCAGGAACTGCGTGCAAAGTCTGAGTGATGTATGTGTCTTCCAGGACCAGCCTCCGATGACCGGTATCCGCAGGTATAAAGATAGACAACTGGGGGGGGGGAGAGATTGGGTGGAAGATATGAAAAGATTATGCTCTGGCATTTGTGATGATCCAACCCTCAATTACTCAGTAGTGACTAGATATAAAGTCACAAACAGGTGAACTTAGATGTAGCCAAAATCTTTTGCCCAATATTGAATGTTCTTCCTTCTCGGAACATCCAAGTTCATACAAGATGATGACCTTTTTTCTCTTTCTCTTTTCAATTTTCTCTTTCTTTCCCCCCCCCTCCCTTTCTCATCTTCCTTCTGCTCAGATAGTTGGTACAAGCCTGTGGCAAACTTTCCTTTTTATTCTCTTTAAACTTATCAAAGAATTTGGACCCGAACTAGAATGAAATGGGCATCTCCTTTTCTATTTTTTTTTTAAAAAAATTACAATTGAAAATCCTTCAGCGTCTTAGCCATTGTTGGGAGTATAAATCAAAAGGCAGCCTTGAGGAAGATATGAGGTTTAGAACTCCCAACCCACATTCTAACCACAAATTATGGATTAAAAAATGTACATAAGCCTCAGGTATAGAAAGACAATGTGTTTATTTACCCTAAAGAGAAAGCCAACATACTGTGCTAAATTTATTCCACGTATCCCTATTTGTAAAAAAAAAAATAAATTACACTTCCACAATCAGAGAACAAAGAAAGGGTGTGGGCAAGGGAAATCCTTCCCTGTGTCCAGTGCTGCAAGCTGATACATAATAAAGTGGACAAACAGGCACGCATAATTATAAGCACAAAAATATTCTCCCTATTTTTCTGTAAAGAGGTTCCCGCAGCTTACACACCAATTGCAGCAACAGTTTTTTTCCCCTTTTATCCTTGCCTTCATTTCCACTCTCTTTCACTCCCTTTTTACAGTATGCAAACCCCTTATTTATTTATTTATTTATTTATTTATTTATTTATTTATTTATTTATTTAATTGATTGATTGATTGATTGATTTCTGTACCCTCCCCCCATCTCAACCTGATGACTCTGGCCAGCTCATAATTCTAAATAGCAATAGAAATAGCACTTAAAGACTTATGTACTGCTTCATAATGCCTTACAGTCCTCTCTAAGCAGTTTACAAATTGCCCCCAAACAATCTGGATCCTAATTTTACCCACCTCGGAAGGATAGAAGGCTGAGTCAACCTTGAACCCGTCAGGATTGAATTCCTGGCAGTGGAATTCTAACTAATGCACCACCACAGACATTTAAAACCAATAAAAACAGTACAAAATAGATATATACAACATCCAATTTAACAGTAAAACCAATAGATGGGACCCTTAATACATTTGGAACCCCAGATTTGAACACATAGCCAAGTTTTTAGAATTTTTGGGGTCAGGGTCACTCTAATTTCTGAAGGGACCTTGAATCTCTGTCAAGGACCTTTGAGTACTCATATCTAATGATCTAAGTGCCAAAACCCACTGTAACAACATCGCCAAAAAGGCATTAAGAGTTGTAAACCTAGTCTTGCATAGCTTCTTCTCCGGTAATATTACACTACTAACCAGAGCACGCAAAACATTTGCTAGACCAATTCTCGAATACAGCTCATCTGTCTGGAACCCGCACTACATATCGGACATCAATACAATTGAATGTGTCCAGAAATATTTCACAAGAAGAGTCCTCCACTCCTCTGCTCGCAACAGAATACCTTATGCCACCAGACTTGAAATTCTGAGCTTAGAAAATTTAGAACTACACTGCCTTTGGTATGACCTAAGCCTAGCTCATAAAATTATCTGCTACAATGTCCTACCTGTCAATGACTACTTCAGTTTCAACCACAACAATACACGAGCACACAATAGATACAAACTTAAAGTGAAGTGTTCCAAACTCGATTGCAACAGACTGGTCAATGCCTGGAATGCACTACTTGACTCTGTGGTTTTATTCCAAAACTCCCAAAACTTTAACCTTAGACTGTCTACTGTTGACCTCACCCCATTCCTAAGAGGTCTGTAAGGTGCGTGCATAAGAGCACCAGCGTGCCTATCGTCCCTGTCCTAATGTTTCCTCTATTTGTATCTATTTTATGTATCCAATCCATGTTTATACTTATTAACTAATACATTCTTGACAAATAAATAAAAATAAATAAATAAAAGGGAGGATGTTCCACAGAGTAGGGGCTACAGCAGAGAAGGCCCTCTTCTGGTCCCTGGCCAGCCAACATTTTTAGCTGATGGGGATCCACAATGTGTCCAACCTGGTGGACCAAATTGGACAGGCCAGGATTTGAATGCTGATACACACCTAGAGATCTCATGCGCCTTACCCTACGACAGTCGGTCCCAGCCCTGGCCCCCTCCAGATGTGTGGACGTGATCTCTCAGAATTCTCAGCAATGGCCACACCAGTTAGGAATTCTGGGCGCTGCAGTCCCAGCACATCTGGCTGTTGCCAGCATTTGGAAAGCTGGTGGAAGAAACCCAAGAATAGTTTCGCACTGTTTTCAGGAGCAAAGTTCTCTGAATTCTCTGGAGGAGGCTTAATTGTGGCTTTGGAACTTGATTAACAGTCCGACATTGGGACGGAGAATACCCAGCCCCCACTCCATTGGGTGGCATCTAAATCACCCTATACTTTGCCAGTTGTTTCTAAGAACAAAATTAACCCGAATTAAAAAGATGCCCTTTCCTCTTTTTCTGGCACATGGCAGCCCAACCAAGTCCTGCAAGGAGGTGCCAAGGCCCTTCCTGCACAATACCAGTACCACTTTTTGCACGCTTTTGCACACAAACCCATCGTCAAGGGCACTTCAATCTTGAAACAATAGCAAGCACATGGCTTTGAAATGTCCTCAGGCTGCCTGCCACACGCCAGAAAGAAAGAAAGAAATCTTCATCATCGCCATCTAGGCTTTTTCCAAGATCGACTTCCACGAATGGCTGCAGGATGGAAATACGCTGAAATAAGGGGCATCCTCCCTCCCGCCCAACAGTTTGCTTCTAAGGACTACTAGGATAAAGGAGACAACTCTTTTAAGGTTTTTAACCGGGCTAGGATGAGGAGCAGGGTGAAAAAAACACGAGCAAATGGGATTCTCGGGGAGGGCAGGCCTCTCTTCAGGGCAGGCGAAGCCTTGTGTGAAAAGTGGCTACCCTGGAACGATGCAGGAAAGCCAGCATGTAGCAGAGAGCGCAAGGCTCGGGGAGGAGAAACATATTAATAGCATCATCTTATATACTGGCTTCAGCAGGGGTTACCCCCCAGGGAAGAGAAGCGGAGGACTGCAGCTTGCAGCTGTCAGGGCAAGTTGAGATTTCAGATGGGGGGAAAAACCGCTGCATGAATCCCAAAGTGGGGCTGATTTGCTGTTTTTCCTTCCTTTTCTTCCCCCCCGCCCCGTTCTTCTTCTTCTTCTTTTCCTCCAGGCTGGCAGAGAGGGGTTTCAAAGCCCATAAAGGTTGACTCAGCCTTCCATCCTTTCGAGGTAGGTAAAATGAGGACCCAGATTGTAGGGGCAATAAGCTGACTTTGTATAAAATAAAACACTGCTTTGGGGGGGGGGCAAAAAGCCCTACTAAGCAGGTATATACAAAAGTATGAAGGCTATTGCTGAATGCATTGTAAGCCGCCCTGAGTCTCCGGAGAAGGGCAGCATATAAATCGAACTAATAAATAAATAAATAAATTCCGCCAAGCCGGGCTATCAATGTAATGATTTTTAAATTGGGTTTTAAATTTTGGGGGTTTTAAATTTCAGCCGAATTATGTAATGATTTTAATTATTTTTAACTGATGTTTGTCTTTGTGTTGTTTAATAGGCTGTACACCGCCCTGAGTCCTTCGGGAGAAGGGCGGTATAGAAATAAAATTATTTATTTATTTATTTATTCATTTATTTATTTATCAATCAATCAATCAATCAATCAATCAATCAATCAAGGCAGCCTTTAAATCAAAGGAAAGGACTGGCTAAGGCAAGGAAACCAGAAAGCAAGTAAAAACCCTCCTCCTGATGATAAAAGTGCCAATCCTTCAGGGCTGCACCCAGATCTTGGGAGATGCCTGCAAGAAGGAGAAAGTGTGGGGAGGGCAGAGGGAGGGAGGGAGGGAGGGAGGCAGGCAGTGGGTGAAACACACAGGGTACCCCCAATATTCAGAGTCCCTGGGGCTTACAATGGGGCCGGGTACTGGATCGCCACTGTCCCGGGGAAGCTGGAGTCTTTTGGAAGATGGTCCAGGCAAGAAGGAAGAGGGGGGCGCCAAGGGTGGCAAAGCGGGGAAGCCCCGGTTGCAAAGCGAGCATCCCGCTCGTCTACCCACCTGCCGAGGATCCGCGATCGGCCCGCGAGGAGGAGGAAGAAGAGGAAGAAGAAGAAGGGGCGCGGCGATCTCAGCAAGCCCAAGGACCACCTTGGCCCACGGCGAGAAGAAGCCACGAGGAAGCGGTGCGGTGGAATGGGTGGGGAGGGGGAGCAACCTGCTCTGCCTGGCCAGTCTCCTCTCTCCGGGGTCAGAGACAAAAGAGCGGCCGCCTGCTTCTCCCTCCGATGCTCGCAAGGGGGAGTGGGGGGGGGGGGGAAAGAGAAAATAAGGGGGGGGGGGGGGGGGGAAACACACCCCGAAAGGGGCGTGGGAGGGATGGATCCTGATAGGAAGGGGTGCGGGAGAGGGTGGGGACATCCTGGCGACGCAGGAGGAAAGCTCCGGGCCGCCCGGCAAGAGCCGGAGGGAGGTAGGGTCTTAGGGGTGGAGGGTGGGGGGAGAAGGGGGAAAGAGAGAGAGGCGCCGAGGGCAGGATCGAACTCCCCACCCGGCCCCGCCGCAGCCCTTCCCCGCCTGGCCAGAGGGGAGGCGCCGGGGGAAGGGAGGGGAGGGCTGCGGCTGCGGGGCACGTGTGAACGGGAAACACGCGGGGTGCGGGGGGAAGATGTTGGATTACTGGGAATCGCCCTCCCTCCCACTCCCGGGATTCCATCGCTCGTGGAAGCCACCATTGCCTTGCCTTGGCAAGTGCTCCACCTTAGCCCCGACCCCCCCACCCACAATCCGGGTTGCGTGGTCCTCGGTCCCCCCCACACACACATACACACAACACGGTGCTGCTGAGCCGCCCCGCTCTCCTGCCTGCCTCTGCGGTGTTTTGTATTTTTTTTTTGTTGTTGTTGTTCCAAAGAGGCTTGCCACCCAGCCACCCCGCCACCCCGCCCCGCCCCAGGATCTCTGGTCCCGGGGTCGGGACGCTTTGGTTTACAATCGCCGATCGATGGGGTTTTATTGCTTTCCCTACTTCTGGTGCTTGGTCGGGTTTCGATTTCAGTCACGAGACTGCGGTGGCTTCGAGGGTTGATCGATGAATAATAGAAGATACAGATATGCATCATGCAGTGCCGATAAAGGAGAATATATAGGATAGGGATAGGGATAGGGATAGAATAGAATAGAATAGAATAGAATAGAATAGAATAGAATAGAATAGAATAGAATAGAATAGAATAGAATAGAATAGATGGAATGCAATGCTATGCAATGCAATGGGTTGCAATAGAATAGAATAGAATAGAGTAGAATAGAATAGAATAGAATAGAATAGAATAGATGGAATGCAATGCCATGGAATGCAATGGGTTGCAATAGAATAGAATAGAATAGAATAGAATAGAATAGAATAGAATAGAATAGAATAGAATAGAATAGAATAGAATAGAATAGAATAGAATAGAATAGACCTCCCCCCTTCCCTTTGCCTTTGCTTGTGGAAGCCAAGGGGAAGATTGCAAATAGAGACCACATGACCCTGGGATGCCATAAACTAGTGAATCGCGTTCCATTTATCCAGGGCCCAAATTTTGATTGCGTGACTGTGAGTATGCTGTGAAGGTCCGAAGTGTGATGAAAAGTCGCTTTTTTCATGCCATTGTAACTTCAGTCACTAAATGAAAGGTTTTAAGTCAAGGACTACCTGAGTCATGGGCATTGCAGAAGGGGCAGGTGAAAAAAAAAATCCATCTCTTGATTACTTTTGTGGAACATGGTGATGCAAGTACCGTACAGAATAGAATAGAATAGAATAGAATAGAATAGAATAGAATAGAATAGAAAATGCAATGCAATGCAATGCAATGCAGTGGGTTGCAATAGAATAGAATAGAATAGAATAGAATAGAATAGAATAGAATAGAATAGAATAGAATAGAATAGATGGAATGCAATGCAATGGGTTGCAATAGAATAGAATAGAATAGAATAGAATAGAATAGAATAGAATAGAATAGAATAGAATAGAATAGAATAGAATAGACCTTGTAGGTGATCTATTCCAGGGGTCTCCAACCTTGGCAACTTTAAGCCTGGCGGACGTCAACTCTCAGAATTCTGGGACTTGACGTCCGCCAGGCTTAAAGTTGCCAAGGTTGGAGACCCCTGATCTAGTCAAACCCCCCACCCCCAAGCAGAAGACCCTACACCCGTGATGGCGAATCTATGGCACGCATGCCACAGGTGGCACGCGGAGCCATATCAGTGGGCACGTGAGCGTTGCCCTACCTCAGCTCCGGTGGGACTGGAAGTCGGGAAACCGTCTGTTTCCTTCCTCCAGAGGCTAGGAAGGGTTTTATTTGAGCTCCTTAAGGTAATGGTTTAGAAATGTATTTTAATTACCGTAGGCCGATTGAACGCTGGGAACTAGTTAGCAGTTGGCTGAATCTCTCAGTACTTTGTGTCAACACTGTGAAAGTCCAAAGTATGGCATATGATAGATGTCCCCTTTTCCACTTCCTCTCAGGGTTCCGAATAATACATCCACCAAAAGCAGAACTCCAAGACAGGTATATTCCTCAAAGAACATGTTTTTTGGACACACCATATCGGCACAGCTAGTGAAGACCAACTCTAAAAGTTCCCGCGGTTTCCCCCCTAATTAAAAGAGCAAATATTCCCTCCCCAGGTGTCACCACTCACATTGTCCGATGAAGGTAGCTGGGAGGCTGCTTGGTCACTCCTCTGCCATCTGCTGGGATGACCTTGGTTCCCCAGAGGAAAACTTGTTGCTTTGACTGGTAGCCGATCTATCTACTTCCCCGCTCCCTTCCCCCTTTCAAAGTTCATGGCAACTATGGAGCAGGAGAGAAATGGCTTCAACCAGGTCAGCTTCAGAGTTGACGCTTCCATTAAAAACATATGTGCTACTTACATGCCATTTGTACATTGTATCCATGTGTGTGGTCGTAGTAGAAGGGAAAGACTCAAATGTGGTCTCATGAATCATCACTCAGAGATATGATATAAACGAATGAACTTGGATGTAGGGATGAATAAAATGTTTCCTAACCACCATTTGCAAAAGAACCGCATCTGTGACTTGGGTAACTCATTTCTTTTTCTGAAAAGCAGACCCAGTTCTTAGAAATCAATGGAATTCTGAATCTCAAAGATTATCAAAACAACTTGTTTCTTTTCGGTTTTGGTTTAGTTTTTGCAAGAAAAAAGATCCTTAATCGGAGGAGCAGAGTTTTCAAGTTCCTAATAGCAGAAAGGATAAATGAAACCTTCAATGGGATAAAATTTAGCCTGCTGAACAACACCAGGGAGCCTTAATCCCAATATTTTAGGGGATTAGTCACTATTTATATTATTATGATGAGAATAAATATAGGAAGGAAAAAATGCTTTGGTCACTGAAAGTTCCCACAAAGCAACAGTGAAACATAAATATGACTCACTGTTTAAACCAGGGGTCTCCAACCTTGGCAAGTTTAAGACCTCTGGACTTCAACTCCCAGAATTCCTCAGCCAGCAAAGACCCCTGGTTTAAAAGTCACAATTTATTGGCAACTTTTGCAGGTGTGCCAAATGCAGCTAGATTTAAGGAATCAGGCTGTGGGCTGTTGATACATTGCATAGATCAAAGGATGTAAGAACAAGACAGGGTTGGTGGAACCAAGCCCACTTCAGTTAATTGGCACCCCAGTGTTGCATGCTGGGTTACAATTAGCCAAAAGAATAACCTCTGCATTGTGACATCATAAGTGCCACCCTTTTGTACCATCATTAAGTGTTGTACCTTATGATTCTTGACGAATGTATCTTTTCTTTTATGTACACTGAGAGCGTATGCATAAAGACAAATTCCTTGTGTGTCCAGTCACACTTGGCCAATAAAGAATTCTATTCTATTCTATTCTATTCTATTCTATTCTATTCTATTCTATTCTATTCCATTCCATTCCATTCTGTACAGTACTTGCATCACCATGTTCCACAAAAGTAATCAAGAGATGGATTTTTTTTCACCTGCCCCTTCTGCAATGCCCATGATTCAGGTAGTCCTTGACTTAAAACCTTTCATTTAGTGACTGAAGTTACAATGGCATGAAAAAAGCGACTTTTCATCACACTTAGGACCTTCACAGCATACTCACAGTCACACGATCAAAATTTGGGCCCTGGATAAATGGAACGCGATTCACAAGTTATGGCATCCCAGGGTCATGTGGTCTCTATTTGCAATCTTCCCGTTGGCTTCCACAAGCAAAGGCAAAGGGGGGAGGGAGCCAGATCTGCTTAATGACTTATGTGATTCACTTAACAACTGCAGCTTAATGAGCCGCAGTGGTACAGTGGTTAGAGTGCAGTGCTGCAGGCTATTTCTGCTGATCTCCGGCTGCCCACAATTTGGCAATTCGAATCTCACCAGGCTGAAGGTTGACTCAGCCTCCATCCTTCTGAGGTGGGTAAAATGAGGACCCAGATTGTTGGGGGGCAATAGGCTGACTCTGTAAACAGCTTAGAGAGGGCTGGAAAGCACTGTGAAGCGGTATATAAGTCTTAAGTGCTATTGCTATTAATAACCATGACCAAAAAAGGGAGTAAAATCAGCATCACTCACCTAACAACCATACTGAAAAGCAACAGAAATTCTGGTCCCAATTGTCATAAGTCGAGGACCACCTGTATGGCAAATGAACCTTAGGGTGGGCTTCTTGGAGTACGCAGAGCTCAAAACTGCACCTCTTCTTATGGATTGGGGGAAATCGGAGTGATTACAAGGGGCAAAATCCAAATACTTCAGACAAATATTTCCCTTTAAACACAGCCCACCCACCCACCCACCCAAAATCAGTTGTCCCTTGAGTTCCTTGGACTTTCCTGCTTTAGGAGCATGGTTTCCCAAATTCTGCAATGGCCAAATCAGCCTTTGAGCCAAAGAAAATGTTGTACATTCTTGTTGTAAGGTGTACGTGTTTTCATTTAACTTAGATAATTTGTGTTACTTCCCTGTCCGCCCAATCCAAGATATTTATTCAAAGTTTCATCATTTCAGAGAGGGAATTGTGTTAATTATCATAGCCAGAACAACAACCAGATAAGACATATCTTATATTGCATTCTTCATGGACAAAATGCAATGTAAGATACATGATAAGGAAGTTATAAATGCTATTTGAAAATGGTAAGGCTGCTGGGAGGAATGTTGTAACTAGAAAAATGGAATGTTTGCGTGGCTTGTATAATGTGTGCAAATATTATAATTGTGACTGGTACCTGAACAAATGCAAAC